ATATTTTCTAAAGAAGTTAACAATTCAGAATTTATATAAAGGAGTAAAAATGAGTGAATAAAAATACAAACTATGTTTATGAAACCTTTCAGTTGTGTTTGTGTGTTTGTTGTATGTAAACACTTCAGAAATTATTTATTTGTTACATAGAAAATGTGTCCACTGCATTAAAAGGCAATGTTTGATGGAGTTATTTTTGTGGTTTCTATTTCATGTCATTATTTGGATAGATTTTTTTCCTCATTATTGAACCAAATATATATATCTTTTCCTGAAAATGATTTTTATTTGTTTGAAAAGGGACTTGTGATATTAAATTAACCTGTGTCGTGATTTTTGGAGTAATGAATGTAAATATTGGCTATGGCATTATTTCCACATAGAATTAGGATGTTATTTTTTAATTAAAATTAAACACAACAAAGGGAAAATAATGATAGTCATAAGAAGATTCTCTGTCTGTGTGGACGGTGCGAGGAGAATTCTTTCATTCTCACACAGACAAACAAAGGCACACACAGAAGCAGTCAACGGTAATACATACACACACACATAATACACAGACCTACATACATACATACATACATACATACATACATACATACATACATACATACATACATACATACATACATACATACATGTATACGTGTACACACACACACACACGCATGCACATGCACACACACACACGCACATGCACCACACACATGCACGCACACACACATGCACGCACACACACATGCACGCACACACACATGCACGCACACACATGCACGCACACACACACTCACCACTCTCACACACTCAGTACACATACATCTCAACACACACACACACACACACTCTCACACTCTCACCACTCATCAATACACTCAACACACACACACACACACACACACACACACACACGTGTGCGCGTGCACATAAAAAAGAAAGAAAAATGAATTGCATCTTGCATTTGTCCCACAAACACATTCAACGATAAGGGGACTTTTTTGTCAATTCCTTTTCTCAAAAAAATCCTGTGCAAGAAAGGAGATGAGAAAAGCACTGTGTATTTTGTTCATCGTATTCATTCCGCGTGCATGGCAGACGAGGACCAAGGGGCGAGGCAGTCCAGGTCCATGGCGCTCCGGCGAAGGGAGCCTCGAGGCCAGAGCTCACGGCTTTCGAACACGTTTCCTTTTGCAGTCTTGAATGAAGGTTGTGCGACTCTTCCCGTTCGTGAAAGTGACGCCTGAGGTAGCCTCGGCATCACCATAGGAGTGTGATGGCTTTCTATTGGCCGGCCTCTCCTTAGGGAGTCATTTTTCCATTTGCTTTCGAAGCCCGTTTCAGTGCCTGGGGTGTCTCGTTGTGCCCCAAGTGTGGCTCACTGGCTCGGCGCGCCATGGAGTGAGGTCCTGGCTCGCCCTTGTGTCCACACTTCGTAAGGCCATTCACTGTGTAAGGAAGTCTACAATTTTTCTACACGAAATATGCATAAACAGAAACTCATCCACACGCGCACACGTACACGCACACGCATTCACTCGCACTCGCACTCACTCACTCACACACATTTACATATATATTATATATATATATATTATATATATATATATTATATATTATATATATATTTACAAATACATATGCATATACATATATGTGTGTGTCTGTTTGTGCGCGCGCGTTGTGTGCAATTGATGAATGTATATGTATGTATACATTTACGTACATACATAGACATCCATATCACAGTGGTAATACTTCCATGTTTATATACTTTTTTATATACATATATACATTGCACGCAGTGTACTGGATTTATATTATGTGAAATATTTAGAATGCAAGCTTGTTTCTCTAGAAGCAGTGTATACTTTTGCCACAACACGTACCGTACCATTGCTAAGAAAGTTAATACTTGATATGAATAAATATGAGAATGATTTTCTCGGTCTTTTTTAACCTTGAGACAGAGAGAAAAAAACAGATATGAAAATGCTTCTTTAACAATCAGCTATGATACATTTTTTCCTCTGTACAACCTTGCAGGATATTGGGTCATTGTTTTTTATTTTCATATATAAATACACATCTCTAATTTTATATATGTGCAAAAAGTACGGTAGGTTACATGATAGGCATTTTGATACATCTTGACTCAAATATTAAAGGTGATTATAGCATTCCCTCTGTTACTTTGTTCATTGTACTGCATAAAACAATATACAATAGATATATTATTATATAACAACATAAAATGCACCCACACCTCTGTATAGAAAACGTATTAGAAGTATAACAGGAAAATGGGACATTGAACCTGAAAACTTGTATTCGACTATTCATTGTGTGTGTTGTAGGGCTTTTTGTTTAAAGTCACTTTGGGGCTGTGGCTCTGCCTTTGGCGATGGCCAGCTGAAGT